CCCCCCCCGGCAGAAGACTAGCGTATTTCCTCCTCTCCTCTCTCCATTTCCTCACCTCTCACAACACTAAGGAATCTAACACGAGAGCTACAAAAGTGACGTCAGCCATGCAGATGCAAGGAGATAGATTCAGGCAGCAGGTGACAAAGGCGCACACACCCTGAATCCAACATCCGCTCAGCATCAGAGCAATGTAGAACTGCAATAAGGAAAATCCCAGGAGCCAATGCACCTTAAACAATACAGCAGGTGACTAACTTTTTACATTTCCTGTAGTTGTTGTCAATGCACCTGGCTCCCGGATTGGACAGGACGGCTCCTAAATTCCATATTCATTGGTCCAGCACCCCTGCATAGGGGCAACCTGCACATCACACATCCTCAGCGCCTTCTGAATTCTTTACATAATAAACAAGCATTTTCTCCAAATTTCAGTAAAACACAAACCATTTCTTTTTGACAACATAATTTCTGCATTTTAAAATTTATAACCAGACAGCTCTCTACTGTACTATTCAGCTAGAGGTTATCATTACAAAGTCATATTGGAAACCCCCGAGAATATATATATATATACACATACACACACATAAAACAAATCTGAGTCCCCCATTCCTCAGTGTTTTCATGTGATAACTCTCAACATGACAAATCCCATTGTTTTATTTTGTGCCTGATCACATCAGATCGTTTAACCACTTGCAGCTCAAAGCCTGTTGTGCGAAGAAGTACATGAGGTTTTCCACCCCATAGACTTCCTTGGGAGCATCTATAAACTGCTTTTTTCCATTGGCCAAAACAAAAACGTCTGAAGCTTGAATACACATGAAAATCCCTTGTGATATGAAAAATCACTCAGGAGTGAATGCAAACAAAACACTGGAAGCTTGCCGATGGGGAGGAGAGAACTGGGTGAGCAAGTGGTACCGCCTAACTACAGCGATAAAAAGTGTGGCCCACAAGACTGCCCGCACCGAGCTACAAATTTTTGCCAGGTGAGACAGTTCACATCCATGTTTTTAAACTGTATATAGCCAGGAGCTCAGCGTTAAGAGCTGTATAATGGAGCGGTTGGCAATTTCCTGTACACAAACCAGTTCTGCAGAAGCTGTGTAAGCCAAGTAAATCAATAATTACTGTGGAAGAAAATTGGGAAAAGAGCATTCTGGTCGACTAGAAAATGTAGAGTAACTCGTCAGAAGTTGCCTGCCAAGTAAAAGGAGCACACTTGGGTCACACACACACGACAACACAAATGCCCAGCCGCACATATAACCTGCCATGTACTCGAACCAGCCGATCTTTTCATGTGGAGCAGAAATCAAACTATTGAGGACAGCAACCCAATTCCAGTCCTATTTGCAAAGGTTACAGCCTGGCAGCTTGCTGTGGGTAGCAGCTGCGCTCCTGCTACTGTTGTCATGGAATAGCCACACAGAATCCAGCAATGCACAAATTGGGCTCAAACAGACAGACAGCATATTCAAATACTGGCACGGCAGGGGTGAGTGAAAAGTCAAACGTGTAGCCTTGGAAATTGTCAGCCAGATCCCTATAGCAACACGTTCTGTTCACCACCAAGATAAACTGATTTCATGGTTCAGTCTATAAGGTGCCTATAAGATAGATAGATAGATAGATGTATATCTATATATAGTCTGTCAAGTTCTGAAGGTCTGATTGTTTAAAGCTGAGCTCTGGGATATTTAAATGTTGTCTAAATAGAAGAGTCATGTGTAATCTTATTTGGACCTTAGTGATCTTATCGATATATAAGAGCTATGGGTATTCTTTCTTGAATCTCATTGAGCTGTGTGTATTTCTTCCAGATCTGTGCAGTAATCCAGTGCGAGACTTGGAACTTCCTGTAATAAAGACCAGTCACTGCTGCTCTCTACTCATGCAGGAAGACTGGTCTTGTATCCGCCCCATTCTCTAGCCTGCAGTGGGTGGGGTCTTCTGGGTCCCTCCCACAGCTCTGCTCTCTGCATAGGCTATGTACAGCACAGTGATGATGTCACTGCTAAGTGGGTTTGCAAAGGCATTTGGTGTACACAAAGTGAATTGATATCCTTTATGGCCATCGAGGAATATATTAAAATGAAAGTATTTTCTGCCTGGAGCTCGGCTTTAAA